GGTTAAACAGACAGTATCTCTGGTGGTAAGGTAAGGCTGAGGTTAAACAGACAGTATCTCTGGTAGTAAGGTAAGGCTGAGGTTAAACAGACAGTATCTCTGGTGGTAAGGTAAGGCTGAGGTTAAACAGACAGTATCTCTGGTAGTAAGGCTGAGGTTAAACAGACAGTATCTCTGGTAGTAAGGTAAGGCTGAGGTTAAACAGACAGTATCTCTGGTAGTAAGGTAAGGCTGAGGTTAAACAGACAGTATCTCTGGTGGTAAGGTAAGGCTGAGGTTAAACAGACAGTATCTCTGGTGGTAAGGTAAGGCTGAGGTTAAACAGACAGTATCTCTGGTGGTAAGGTAAGGCTGAGGTTAAACAGACAGTATCTCTGGTAGTAAGGTAAGGCTGAGGTTAAACAGACAGTATCTCTGGTAGTAAGGTAAGGCTGAGGTTAAACAGATAGTATCTCTGATAGTAAGGTAAGGCTGAGGTTAAACAGACAGTATCTCTGGTAGTAAGGTAAGGCTGAGGTTAAACAGACAGTATCTCTCGTAGTAAGGTAAGGCTGAGGTTAAACAGACAGTATCTCTGATAGTAAGGTAAGGCTGAGGTTAAACAGACAGTATCTCTGGTAGTAAGGTAAGGCTGAGGTTAAACAGATAGTATCTCTGGTAGTAAGGTAAGGCTGAGGTTAAACAGACAGTATCTCTGGTAGTAAGGTAAGGCTGAGGTTAAACAGATAGTTGCTCTGGTAGTAAGGTAAGGCTGAGGTTAAACAGACAGTATCTCTGGTAGTAAGGTAAGGCTGAGGTTAAACAGACAGTATCTCTGGTGGTAAGGTAAGGCTGAGGTTAAACAGACAGTATCTCTGGTGGTAAGGTAAGGCTGAGGTTAAACAGACAGTATCTTTGGTAGTAAGGTAAGGCTGAGGTTAAACAGACAGTATCTCTGGTGGTAAGGTAAGGCTGGTAAAGGCTGAGTTAAACAGAACAGCACCATAGACAGACAGGATCCACCACAACCCATGAGAACAGTAATGGCTGACCAACAACCATATGGGAGAGGAGGAGGCCATAGACTGTCTGTTATCTCCCTGCTCTCTCTGACTTCACCTCACGTTGAGGTCCTCTGGCTGTGTTTCTCATTGACCTGGCTGAAGAATAAATTATAGAAACAGAGTGTGTGTGTGTGTGTGTGTGTGTGTGTGCGTCTGCATGTGCGTGCAGCCGGTTTTATACATGTCTCTGGCCGAGGTACAACTGAACCGGTCCATAAAACAGACGTTTAAACATACATGGATGGATGCTTTTGAACGCAACTCTGACCTGAAATCTGTCATGAGCAATAAAAGCCCAAATAAATGAGTTCTATTCCCTACCGACAGACAGCAACTACACTTGTGTTTGTACCTATACTATGCTGGTGTTTCCATTGGAATTCCACAAAGAGCAGCTGGGTGTGTTTGGCTGGGTGTGTAAAATGGGGTGTTTCAGGTGGTGAATATTTCAGCCTGTATGTAGGAGGGCAGACCAATGACTCTTGACCTTTTACAGCCTGTTTCCTTTTGGTTTCAGCTACCATGATGTCTTATTGAACCTTTGTCTGGCTATGTGGTCTGGTCTGCTCTCTCCACCACCTCACTGACTCACACACTGAACATGTGAAGAGGCCTGAAAATAAGGAGAGGAGAGGAGGAGAAGAATAGGAGAGGAGAGGAGAGGAGAAGAATAGGAGAGGAGAGGAGAGGAGAGGAGAGGAGAGGAGAGGAGAGGAGAGGAGAGGAGAGGAGAGGAGAGGAGAGGAGAGGAGAGGAGAGGAGGAAAATAAACTCCTGGTAGAGAGCCAGTACCTCTGAGTGGAGTTTAAGAGCTGTGTGAAGCTTCAATTTCTTTTCTCTCTCTCGCTCCTGCAGCTCTATTTTGCGCAGAACGAGGTAGGGAGGGAGGTAGAGAGAGGGAGGGAGGGAGGGAAGGAGGAGGAGGAATGAAGTCTGTAGATCTCTCTGGGAGACGGACCACTGGGCCATGAGCATCTCAGCATCCTGTTTTTCCTCTTTCCCTCTTTCTTCCTCTTTCCTCTTCCTCTCTATCTCCTTACAGGGGATATAGAGGCTGTCTTTCTACTTCTCTTTCTCTACCTCCTCCTCTCTCTCCCCATCTCTCCTCCATCTCTCTCTCTCTCTCTCTCTCTCTCTCTCCCATCTCTCTCTCCCCCATCTCTCTCTCTCTCTCTCTCTCTCTTTCTGCACCATCTCTCTCTCTCTCTCTCTCAGTATGAATGAAGCCTGTTCTTGGCTGTGTGCCACTCTCTCTTCCTCTGTCCCTCTCTTCTCTCTCATGTTGAGGAATGTGGTGCTGACATCTCTGTGTAAAGCCTGTGTCTGCAGCATGTCACAGAGAGAGCACAGCTCTGTCACTCTCTTTATTGGTTACACATGTTCAGCTGTAGAACAGGAGCCAGTAGCTGCTGCTGCTGCTGGGGTCTCTCTCGCTCTCTCTTACTCTTCTCTGCCTTGTATGCAGTCTTCCTCACATCTCTCTTTCCTCCAACGCTCTCTCCTCCAGAGCTCTCCCTACATCTATCTCCTCCAGAGCTCTCCCTACATCTCTCTCCTCCAGAGCTCTCCCTACATCTCTCTCCTCCAGAGCTCTCCCTCCGTCTCTCTCCTCCAGAGCTCTCCCTACTTCTCTCTCCTCCAGAGCTCTCCCTACGTCTCTATCCTCCAGAGCTCTCCCTACATCTCTCTCCTCCAGAGCTCTCCCTACGTCTCTCTCCTCCAGAGCTCTCCCTACGTCTCTCTCCTCCAGAGCTCTCCCTACGTCTCTCTCCTCCAGAGCTCTCCCTACGTCTCTCTCCTCCAGAGCTCTCCCTACGTCTCTCTCCTCCAGAGCTCTCCCTACGTCTCTCTCCTCCAGAGCTCTCCCTACGTCTCTCTCCTCCAGAGCTCTCCCTACATCTCTCTCTCTTGCTCTCTCTTGTGTACAGCATACAGAGCCTTTGAGCGGACAATCTGTCAGACAGCAGGAGAGCTGCTGCTGCTGCAGCATCTCAAACAGTAAATGCATCGGCAACGGAAGGCAGGCCTCATCAGCGCGTCACACCCCACTTTGCGATGAGCTGGAGGCAGTATGCATTTTGAAAACATAAACTTAATTGTTTGAAGCCTGAACAGTTTACTATGTATTGTGAGGCAAGTCTTACCTTGCTTCCAAGTAGCCTAGCTGAAATCAGACCATATTCGTGGAGGCAATTATTTAATATCAACTTTCTTTCATTGTCCAGTAGCCAAAGGCACAATCCTAGTCATATTAGCAACCCATGCTAGTTGTTGCATATTAGATCTCCCCTCTTTCTAAATTCCCAACTGATATTTTCGTCTCTGCCACATGAAACCGCTCGCAGGGGCAGCTGCCCTTTTGATGACAAACATTCGCGCGTAGCTTACTGCCTTGTGCTCATTGCTGCGCTTATATTGTGAAGAACTAATAGTTGATCAACATTTTAAAATGTTCTGATCTGTTGCATCTGACTCATCACTTTTAAACCTTTTGAATGTATCCTAGGCTTACTGGTTGTATGAATTTGGGATCTATTGTCCCACAACTGTTTGGAATAGGCCATTTCTTTCTCAACAAGCTGACCAATAGAATAGGTAAACCTTTCTACTATGGGGGATAGTAGATTGAAATTGGCTAGTGATTTTGCTGTTCGTTACTTGTCTTGTTGGCTGAGGAAAAGTTCAATGTGGACAGTTATTCTAACATCTTCAAAGTGCACATGATAATTTGGAAGGACCGCACATCGTTCATCGTTGCACCCTCCACTTCTGTTAATATGAATGACCATCATCTAAATGGGATTTCTGTCATTCTGAGCACTGTGGGTGGACGCCCTAATCATATGGGTCTGGTAAATTTCTCAAATGTCCGGTAAATGAAAATGCTGCCGGTCAAATGTCCGGCGCCACATTTTCCTAACAGAAACCCTGGTGTGTGTGTGTGTGTGTGTGTGTGTGTGTGTGTGTCAGTCACACTAAAAGAACCATACTGCATAATCTAGGATGGACACATTAGATTCCTTGCCTTCTGTTAGCAGACATTGCCACATTTGTTTCATGTTAATGACTCATTAACAGAGTGCTGAGTGGCAAGTTCCCCTTCCTTTGTGTGTGTGTCGGCTGGGGAACACACACCAGTGAGAGCCACAGCTGGTGTGTGTATGGTGACAGGGTAAAGGGAAGGACTCTGGCAGTCAGACACTAAGTGTGTGTGGGTGTGGTAACAAGGCGGCGTGATGGTTGATCTTGGTTGATGGATTGATTCGGTGCAGGTGGACTTCTGTAGCTCAGTGGTTCACACACATATGTGGGCTGGGACTGCTCTCTTCATTTTCTGCTGACCCACCAAATCAACATAATGTTAATAGCCTTGACCCTGGAGGCATTTCCCAGTTCAGCTCTCCTCTTGCCACAGTCGCAGGTCAGTGAAGGGGGTAGTTGGTGAATGGAATGCTAAGATGGGCTAGCTAGGTAGTCAATGCAGGTGTAAGTACTCATGACTAATGCTCTGTACCAGTGTATCATGTTGGCATACAGGGCTAATGCTCTGTACCTGTGTATCATGTTGGCATACAGGGCTAATGCTCTGTACCTGTGTATCATGTTGGCATACAGGGCTAATGCTCTGTACCAGTGTATCATGTTGGCATACAGGGCTAATGCTCTGTACCAGTGTATCATGTTGGCATACAGGGTTAATGCTCTGTACCAGTGTATCATGTTGGCATACAGGGCTAATACTCTGTACCAGTGTATCATGTTGGCATACAGGGCTAATGCTCTGTACCAGTGTATCATGTTGGCATACAGGGCTAATGCTCTGTACCAGTGTATCATGTTGGCATACAGGGCTAATGCTCTGTACCAGTGTATCATGTTGGCATACAGGGCTAATGCTCTGTACCAGTGTATCATGTTGGCATACAGGGCTAATACTCTGTACCAGTGTATCATGTTGGCATACAGGGCTAATGCTCTGTACCAGTGTATCATGTTGGCATACAGGGCTAATGCTCTGTACCAGTGTATCATGTTGGCATACAGGGCTAATGCTCTGTACCAGTGTATCATGTTGGCATACAGGGATAATGCTCTGTACCAGTGTATCATGTTGCATACAGGGATAATGCTCTGTACCAGTGTATCATGTTGGCATACAGGGCTAATGCTCTGTACCAGTGTATCATGTTGGCATACAGGGCTAATGCTCTGTACCAGTGTATCATGTTGGCATACAGGGATAATGCTCTGTACCAGTGTATCATGTTGGCATACAGGGATAATGCTCTGTACCAGTGTATCATGTTGCATACAGGGCTAGTCAGTCATGTAGCTGGTTAGTCAAGTGGCTACTAGCCACTCATTTACTGGGAGCCACCGGGGTACTGGAACGGCATTGGCTGGTCCCCCAGCTCTGAAAACAGGATGCAGCTATAACAACATCCCATCTGTCAGCGAGGGCCCGGTCCAGAGATGAGGGGCGAACAGAACACAGCCAGCCAGCTAGCCCCCCTAACCACAGACCAGGGTACCAGGGCAACAATACACCCCTGTGTACCAGCCGGCCAATAGGGACCTCTCTTACTGGATTCTTTCCAGTCCCGCTGGTGTCTGACGGGTCTGACCAATCCCAATGGACCATCAGACAGAGGCGGGGTTAGGAAGGGGTATACTGACTTATTTAGATGTTTTACACATGGGAGGGAGGGAGGGAGGGAGGGAGGGAGGGGTTGGGATGTGGAAGATGGGTTATGTTGTCGTCATCATCATGTGTTACCTATCCCAGTGATTCTCAACTCCGGGACCCATCAAATGCTTTCAGAACTCTTTTGTGGTCCACTAAATTGATGCAATAGACGAGTCTCTTGCCCACAACCCCCAATCAAGTCATGAGTAACTTCTGTAGCGGTGCTACACAGCTCAACATCTGAGATGGTTGTAAAATGTTAGAGGAAATGACACCTGCTGTCCCCAGTCACTAGTGATGTGGAGAGGGAGACTGGACTAGACTGATGGGTCGGGATAACGTCTGCAAATATGGTCCACAGCCTTCCCATAACCACGTGTCTTTGAAAGCACCTCTCTGGTACTCAAGGCATTAATTCATAGTGTACGGTGTCTTCAGACCCTCTTTTTTCTGTGTTGTGGCTCTCAGCACTCTGAAAAGAACTGGGATTATCTGTAGTGTCTGTCTGCCTGAAGTGTAGTGTCTGTCTGCCTGAAGTGTAGTGTCTGTCTGCCTGTAGTGTAGTGTCTGTCTGCCTGCAGTGTAGTGTCTGTCTGCCTGTAGTGTAGTGTCTGTCTGCCTGTAGTGTAGTGTCTGTCTGCCTGTAGTGAGTCTCTGCCTGTAGTGTCTGCCTGTAGTGTCTGTCTGTCTGCCTGTAGTGTAGTGTAGTGTCTGTCTGCCTGTAGTGTCTGTCTGCCTGTAGTGTAGTGTAGTGTCTGTCTGCCTGTAGTGTAGTGTCTGTCTGTCTGTAGTGTAGTGTCTGCCTGTAGTGTCTGCCTGTAGTGTCTGTCTGCCTGTAGTGTAGTGTAGTGTCTGTAGTGTAGTGTAGTGTCTGTCTGCCTGTAGTGTAGTGTAGTGTAGTGTCTGTCTGCCTGTAGTGTAGTGTCTGTCTGTCTGTAGTGTAGTGTCTGTCTGTAGTGAAGTGTCTGTCTGCCTGTAGTGTACAGTCGTGGTCAAAAGTTTTGAGAATGACACAAGTATTGGTCTTCACAAAGTTTGCTGCTTCAGTGTTTTTAGATATTTTTGTCAATGTTACTATGGTATACTGAAGTATAATTACAAGCATTCCATAAGTGTCAAAGGCTTTTATTGACAATTACATTAAGTTTATGCAAAGAGTAAATATTTGCAGTGTTGACCCTTCTTTTTCAAGACCTCTGCAATCCGCCCTGGCATGCTGTCAATTAACTTCTGGGCCTCATCCTGACTGATGGCAGCCCATTCTTGCATAATCAATGCTTGGAGTTTGTTAGAATTTGTGGGGTTTTGTTTGTCCAACCGCCTCTTGAGGATTGACCACAAGTTCTCAATGGGATTAAGGTCTGAGGAGTTTCCTGGCCATGGACCCAAAATGTCGATGTTTTGTTCCCCGAGCCACTTAGTTACCACTTTTGCCTTATGGCAAGGTGCTCCATCATGCTGGAAAAGGCATTGTTCGTCACATTTACATTTACATCATTTAGCAGACGCTCTTATCCAGAGCGACTTACAAATTGGTGCATTCAATTTATGATAGCCAGTGGGACAACCACCTTTTTTAAAATGGTGGGTGGGGGAAGAAGGATTACTTTATACTATTCCAGGTATTCCTTAAAGAGGTAGGGTTTCAAGTGTCTTCAGAAGGTGGTCAGTGACTCCGCTGTCCTGGCGTCGTTGGGGAGCTTGTTCCACCATTGGGGTGCCAGAGCAGCGAATAGTTTTGACTGGGCTGAGTGGGAACTGTGCTTCCGTAGAGGTAGGGGGGCTAGCAGGCCAGAGGTGGATGAACGTAGTGCCCTCGTTTGGGTATAGGGTCTGATCAGAGCCTGAAGGTAAGACAGATTCTCGCCACGCCACCTGGTAGGAGCGACCTGTCAGGTAGGACGCAATCACCAAACTGTTCTTGGATGGTTGGGAGAAGTTGCTCTCGGAGGATGTGTTGGTACCATTCTTTATTCATGGCTGTGTTCTTAGGCAAAATTGTGAGTGAGCCCACTCCCTTGGCTGAGAAGCAACCCCACACATGAATGGTCTCAGGATGCTTTACTGTTGACATGACACAGGACTGATGGTAGCGCTCACCTTGTCTTCTCCGGACAAGCTTTTTTCCGGATGCCCCAAACAATCAGAAAGGGGATTCATCAGAGAAAATGACTTTACCCCAGTCCTCAGCAGTCCAATCCCTGTACCTTTTGCAGAATATCAGTCTGTCCCTGATGTTTTTCCTGGAGAGAAGTGGCTTCCTCGCTGCCCTTCTTGACACCAGGCCATCCTCCAAAAGTCTTCGCCTCACTGTGCGTGCAGATGCACTCACACCTGCCTGCTGCCATTCCTGAGCAAGCTCTGCATTGGTGGTGCCCCGATCCCGCAGCTGAATCAACTTTAGGAGACGGTCCTGGTGCTTGCTGGACTTTCTTGGGCGCCCTGACGCCGCCTTCACAACAATGGAACCTCTCTCCTTGAAGTTCTTGATGAATGGTTGATTTAGGTGCAATCTTACTAGCAGCAATATCCTTGCCTGTGAAGGCCTTTTTGTGCAAAGTAATGATGACGGCACGTGTTTCCTTGCAGGTAACCATGGTTAACAGAGGAAGAACAATGATTTCAAGCACCACCCTCCTTTTAAAGCTTCCAGTCTGTTATTCTAACTCAATCAGCATGACAGAGTGATCTCCAGCCTTGTCCTCGTCAACACTCTCACCTGTGTTAACGAGAGAATCACTCTGGTCCTTTTGTGGCATGCTGAAATGCAGTGGAAATGTTTTTTTGGGATTAAGTTCATTTTCATGGCAAAGAGGGACTTTGCAATTAATTGCAATTCATCTGATCATTCTTCATAACATTCTGGAGTATATGCAAATTGCCATCATCAAAATTGAGGCAGCAGACTTTGATTTTTTTTATTTGTGTCATTCTCAAAACTTTAGACCACGACTGTATTCTAGTGTCTGTCTGTAGTGTAGTGTAGTGTCTGTCTGCCTGTAGTGTAGTGTAGTGTCTGCCTGTAGTGTCTGTCTGCCTGTAGTGTAGTGTAGTGTCTGCCTGTAGTGTAGTGTAGTGTCTGCCTGTAGTGTAGTGTAGTGTCTGCCTATAGTGTCTGCCTGTAGTGTAGTTTCTGTCTGCCTGTAGTGTAGTGCAGTGTCTGTCTGCCTGTAGTGTAGTGTCTGTCTGCCTGTGGTGTAGTGTCTGTCTGTAGTGTCTGCTTGTAGTGTAGTGTCTGCCTGTAGTGTAGTGTCTGCCTGTAGTGTAGTGTCTGCCTGTAGTGTAGTGTATGCCTGCCTGTAGTGTCTGCCTGTAGTGTAGTGTCTGCCTGTAGTGTAGTGTATGCCTGCCTGTAGTGTAGTGTCTGCCTGTGGTGTAGTGTCTGCCTGTGGTGTAGTGTCTGCCTGTAGTGTAGTGTCTGCCTGTAGTGTAGTGTCTGTCTGTAGTGTAGTGTCTGCCTGTAGTGACTGCCTGTAGTGTAATGTCTGTCTTCCTGTGGTGTAGTGTCTGCCTGTAGTGTAGTGTCTGTCTGTAGTGTAGTGTCTGCCTGTAGTGTCTGCCTGTAGTGTAATGTCTGTCTTCCTGTGGTGTAGTGTCTGCCTGTAGTGTAGTGTCTGTCTGCCTGCGGTGTGGTGTAGTGTCTGCCTGTAGTGTAGTGTCTGCCTGTAGTGTAGTGTCTGCCTGTAGTGTAGTGTCTGCCTGTAGTGTAGTGTCTGTCTGTAGTGTAGTTTATGCCTGTAGTGTCTGCCTGTAGTGTAGTGTCTGCCTGTAGTGTATGTCTGTAGTGTCTGCCTGTAGTGTAGTGTCTGCCTGTAGTGTAGTGTATGCCTGTAGTGTAGTGTCTGCCTGTACTGTCTGCCTGTAGTGTACTGTCTGCCTGTAGTGTACTGTCTGCCTGTAGTGTCTGCCTGTAGTGTAGTGTCTGCCTGTAGTGTAGTGTCTGCCTGTAGTGTAGTGTGCCTGTAGTGTAGTGTCTGCCTGTAGGGTCTGCCTGTAGTGTAGTGTCTGCCTGTAGTGTATGCCTGTAGTGTCTGCCTGTAGTGTAGTGTCTGTCTGTAGTGTAGTGTCTGTCTGTAGTGTAGTGTCTGCCTGTAGTGTAGTGTCTGCCTGTAGTGTAGTGTCTGCCTGTAGTGTAGTGTCTGCCTGTAGTGTCTGGCTGCCTGTAGTGTAGTGTCTGCCTGTAGTGTAGTGTCTGCCTGTAGTGTATGCCTGTAGTGTAGTGTCTGCCTGTAGGGTCTGCCTGTAGTGTAGTGTCTGCCTGTAGTGTAGTGTCTGCCTGTAGTGTATGCCTGTAGTGTCTGCCTGTAGTGTAGTGTCTGTCTGTAGTGTAGTGTCTGTCTGTAGTGTAGTGTCTGTCTGTAGTGTAGTGTCTGCCTGTAGTGTAGTGTCTGCCTGTAGTGTCTGGCTGCCTGTAGTGTAGTGTCTGTCTGTAGTGTAGTGTCTGTAGTGTAGTGTCTGTCTGTAGTGTAGTGTCTGTCTGTAGTGTAGTGTCTGCCTGTAGTGTAGTGTCTGCCTGACAGATTTTCCCTGATGAATTAGTAACACTAACACAGGTCCAAATGGAGACCTAAATGGAACAGGGTTGTTTCTGGTCCTCAGTCCTGTCTGATGGTGGGGAGATGTGACCTACTTACCCCAGCAAGATAACACACTGGGGTGTCTGGAGAAAGGGAAGGGCTTAATGGTGTACTGTGGGTGTGTGTGGTTCAGATGGTAGAGCATGTGTGGTTCAGATGGTAGAGCATGGCGCCTGCAACACCAAGGGTCGTGGGTTCGTTTCCCGCTGGGGGCCACCCATACATAAACATGTATGCATGCATGGCTAAGTCACTTTGGATAAAAGCGTCTGCTAAATGGCATCATATTAACACAGGACTGTTGTTGTTCTGTGTGGGATTATAAAAAGGATGAAGAGAGTCCTTTATAGAATGACTAGATATTATATGTGTCAGGTCAGCTCCTTCCAGGGGAACACTGTGGGAAGATTGACAGGATGGCCCTGATAAAACAGAGTAACTAACAGGGATTTGTGTGTGAGTTAGGTGTGTGTCTGTGTTGCGTGTTCTACAGTATCTGCTTTAATGCTGTCACATCGAGAGGAGAGGAGAGGAGAGGAGAGGAGAGGAGAGGAGAGGAGAGGAGAGGAGAGGAGAGGAGAGGGATGAGAGTCTATTCCCCCCACGCATTACTACACTCACTGCAATTATAGATGACAACACACTGTTTCAGCCACGCCACCCACGCTCATTTAGCAATCACTCACACATGCACCACCCATTATTACAGTCAAGTCAACAGATGATATCTGTAAACAGCTGAGGGGGAAGTGGAGTAATGTACACAACACCTGCAGAACCGAGCAGAGCAGAGCAGAACCGAGCAGAGCAGAGCAGAGCAGAGCAGAACAGAACAGAGCAGAGTGGATCAGAGTAGAGCCCACATCTCCAGTTAGTCCATTAGCCTTAATAACAGACACTGGTGTAAGGACAGTTGGCATTAGAATGCATCGTATGGAATGACTAGCTCCACCCCTAACCCTCTCGCCTCTATGGGTCTAAGCCACACCCACATCCCCTCTGACTGGTGCTTTGGTTAGCCTGGTTCCTCCTGAAAGATTCATTCTAGCAATAACTGTGTGCTGCCAGAGAATGGCCCTGCCAGTGCCACAGCGGTGAGCCAAGATGGAGCTCAGTGGCTCCAACAGAGCCAGTCGCAGAGCAGCTGGTGTGATATTAAATATTAAGAGTGCGACCGGCTCCACCGCGGGCCTGCTGCTTTTGTTTGGCAGCCATGCTGGGCCTCTGATGGATAATAAGACCTGGGCCCAGTCAGGCTAATGGGCCTCACAACTAGGGAGATATTACACCTAGCCTCAGAGCCTGGGAGATGTTACACCTAGCGGGTAGCCTGGGAGATATTACTAGCCAGTAGCCTCAGAGCCTGGGAGATGTTACACCTAGCGGGTAGCCTGGGAGATATTACTAGCCAGTAGCCTCAGAGCCTGGGAGATGTTACACCTAGCGGGTAGCCTGGGAGATATTACTAGCCAGTAGCCTCACAGGCAGGGAGATGTTACACCTAGCGGGTAGCCTGGGAGATATTACTAGCCAGTAGCCTCAGAGCCTGGGAGATATTACTAGCCAGTAGCCTCAGAGCCTGGGAGATGTTACACCTAGCGGGTAGCCTGGGAGATATTACTAGCCAGTAGCCTCAGAGCCTGGGAGATGTTACACCTTGCCATGCAGACCATCACACCTAGCCAGTTGCCTGTTAGCCGATACCACATACATCTACTATGGGCAGCATTTTCAGGATTGGTTAAGCTGGTACAGTAGAGTTGTTCAGTGTTGTGTAGTGGACCATCGGTCTTGTTTACTTGCTGTTCGGTGTGTATGTACAGCTGACATGCTCTACTGAAGACTTCCTGTCTGGTCTGAGTGGATGTATCTCAGAGAGGATGCGGCTATCCTAGCTGTCATCTTTAATGATACGCTCCTATCCTCCCCGAAGTCTCCCCCCCCCCCCCCCCCCCCCCCCCCTCTTCTCGTTTATCTCTGCCTGTCTTCTTTCTCCCTGTTAGTGAGTGACTACTGAGCAGGAACAGATTGGAACCCTTGTTGCCGTGACATCTGAAGGTCATAGATCTTCCAGCTGGCAGACTTCTGATGTCGTGTGTGTGTACCGTTGACTGACGGGCTTCTCTCTCTTTGTTGCAGACGCCTTCGTGAACAGCCAGGAGTGGACCCTGAGCCGATCGGTACCAGAACTCAAAGTGGTGAGTCTGAAATTGGATACACCTAGGCTTGCCATGCAGACCATCACACCTAGCCAGTTGCATGTTAGCCGATACCACACACACACCTACTATGGGCAGCACCAGTGGAAAAAGGGAAGGGGGTCTGAATACTTTTCCGAATGCACTGTATATGCACACACAGACCAGGAATGAGGTGAAAACTTGAAGCAGAATAACATTGCCTTTCTCTATATTCCATATTCTCAATCTGTATTCATGTATGCATCTGAGGCAGTCTTCCTCTGAAGCTCTTCTCAGCTTTATCCACTGCAGCACAACCATTCTGATTATTACAAGCCAAAGTAGAAGATATGCAAAACCAGGAAACAACCTCACTTCCCTGTTCTTCTTCTTCCTCCCCCAGGGCATTGTGGGTAACCTGGCCAGTGGGAAGTCTGCGCTGGTCCACAGGTACCTGACAGGAACATACGTCCAGGAGGAATCTCCAGAAGGTAGGACCATGCGCTCTCTACTGCTCACCATGTCTGTGTCTGTCTGTGTCTGTCTGTATCTGTCTGTGTCTGTCTGTGTCTCTGTCTGTATCTGTCTGTGTCTGTGTGTGTCTGTGTGTCTGTATCTGTCTGTGTCTGTTTGTGTCTGTATCTGTCTGTGTCTGTGTGTCTGTGTCTCTGTCTGTTTGTGTCTGTGTATCTGTCTGTGTGTCTGTGGATGACTCTGAAATAGCACCCTATGCACTACATTTGACCAGGCTCTCTGGTTGAAAGTAGGGCACTAACTAGGGAATAGGGTTCCGTTTCAGACGCAGACCATGTCTATGTCAGAGCCAATAGCAGTGTGCTTGGTTAGGAAAAGCTTCCTAGAAAGCCTTAAATTCACCATGGTGCCGCGCTAATGCTTAATTAAAGTGCCTGCTTAACCCAACTACCCAGCGACAAAGAGCTGGAGAGAGCAGTATGTTTGTCCTGAAGCTAATGTTCTCTCCCTGTTACCTCTCCTCAAGCTAAGCCTGAGGGGCTCCTCTCCTCCACACCAGGCTGCATCTCAATAGTCCACAGTGTCCTCTCCTCCACACCAGGCTGCATCTCAATAGTCCACAGTGTCCTCTCCTCCACACCAGGCTGCATCTCAATAGTCCACAGTGTCCTCTCCTCCACACCAGGCTGCATCTCAATAGTCCACAGTGTCCTCTCCTCCACACCAGGCTGCATCTCAATAGTCCACAGTGTCCTCTCCTCCACACCAGGCTGCATCTCAATAGTCCACAGTGTCCTCTCCTCCACACCAGGCTGCATCTCAATAGTCCACAGTGGCCTCCTTTATTAATTTTTTTTTTTTTGAGAACTCTGTTTATTAAGTTTTACACACACACAGACAAGACAAAGCAATATAAATAATATACTCAACTAGACAAAAATACAAATAATACATATAAAAATAAAAAAAAATAAAAAAAAAAGAACTTTAAAGATACCATACTTTAGACAAGTTAAACACACCAGGCAGAAGGCTACAAAAGGTTAAAGGGCAATCTATAGTATAGGGACAGAGCAAATACCTCACCATTGTTCCTGTAAACAGTTAAGGGATGGGGTGGAGAAATGCAACCATTCACAGACAGTCAAGGCCACAGACCAATCATCCACTGGACCAAAAATAAAAAGTTACAATGCTTTAAAATAAAAAATGAATATTGATAATTTTATGTAGGCGTGAACAGAATTTAAAAAATAAAAATAACTGGGAAAAACAAGCTCACACCTTAGTCTCTGCCCGGGCGAGATGAACAGGGCATCCGCAGGTCACAATCAATAAGCACATCAACCTTAATGCCCCCCACCCCCACCCCAGAAAAAAAACACAGAGAAATGCTCATCCAACCCCTAAGTCACAGGGGGGTCAAATACAGACTTATTTTGGTTTTAATAGGAATGCTATCAGAGGGTGGACTGTTTAAAGTAAGACCGGAATGGAGCCCAAGCCTCATTAAACAGTTTGGGGTTCCCACGTGAATTGAATTTAATTTTTTCTAGTTTCAGAGAGCACAACACATCTCTCACCCAATATTTATAAGATGGGGGAGCTGCCATCTTCCAGTTCTGTAGTATTAGCCGTCTAGCTAAAAGAGTTGTATAAGCAACAGTGTCCGACTGGATTCTTGACAGGGGGGTGCTTATGGGCAGTACTCCAAAAAGGGCTGTAAGGGGAGAGGGATCTATAACAGTGTTATATATATCAGAGAAACATTTAAATATTAATTCCCAGAAACCTGACAATTTATGACAGCCCCAGAACATATGTAACAGTGTGGCCGGTTCAATTTTACATCTGACACAGGTAGGATCAAAATCAGAGAATATTCTTCCAAGTCTGGCCCCAGACCAGTGGATACGGTGAACCACCTTGAATTGAATGAGACTGTGTCTAGTGCTAAAAGAGGACGAATGCACCCTGCGCAGCACAGATTCCCAGGTGTCTTCCCCAAGTTCCTCCCCCAAATCCTTTTCCCATCGAGTCTTTAAAGGCACCAAAGAAGGGTTCTGTAAGTCATGAATGATTGCATATACATCTGAAATTGCGCCCCTAGGAAGCTTGTTCAACTCCAGGATGCTCTCTATAGCTGTATTCACAGGCCTATGGGGAAATTCAGGTGTGTTAGCTCTGACAAAGTTCCTAGTCTGGAGATAGCGGAAAAAGTGGGATTGGGGGAGGTTGAACCTTTCCTGTAGCTGAGCAAAAGAGGCAAATGTATCATCAAAGAATAATTGGGCTAGTGAGGAGAGGCCTAGTGAGTGCCAGATGTCAAAAGCCCCATCATTCAAAGATGGAGGAAATAAAATGTTCTGATTGATTGGGCCTGATAGAGAAAAGCCTCGGAGGCCAAAGGCTAAGCGGAACTGATTCCACATTTTAAGAGACTGCTTTACAATTGGGTTGACACACCTTTTGCCTAGGGACACTGGGAGAGACGAGCACAACACAGAAGAAAGTGCAGCAGGTTTACACGATTCAGACTCCATCTGGACCCAGATTGGTCTAGGGCCAGTAGGATCAGTCTGCAGCCAGTACAGAAGGGCTCTGAAATTTGCAGCCCAATAGTATGTCTGAAAATTTGGTAGAGCTAAACCCCCCAATGACTTAGGCTTCTGTAAATGTTTTCTACCAATCCGTGGTACCTTGCCATCCCAAATAAAATGCATGAATGTTTGATCCAGTGAAATAAAAAAAGATTTTGGAATAAAAATGGGTAGACATTGAAATAAATATAGAAATTTGGGCAACACACTCATTTTAATGACATTAATCCTTCCGATAAGAGAAAGAGGTAGCGCATTCCAAAAAGCAAAAGATTGTTTCAAACTGTCTGCTAGAGCAACCAAGTTTTCCTGAAACAGGTTTGAATATTTCCTT